TCACTGAGCTTCCTTGAAGTATAACCACTTCACTACTCCAGTTACTTGGACGTCCTTCTTGTAAAAGAAGAGTTCTTGTAAAACAGGGGTTTCTCCAACTTGCTTCGTCACAAAGGATGTGTATATGAAGTGTTTGAAGTGTTGACAAACTGTTGGAACTTTGCTTTTGTTGGAATATGAAGATGTGAAAAATATTATCTTTCCAACTGAAGCTTTTCTTGTTGAGGAAGATGAAGTTGAGGTCTCAAGAAAGCTTGAATGTTTAGATGTTGTAAAGAGAGCAAAAGTTATCCGGTTGTTCTTCGTGTAGTATCATATATACTAGGGTTGTCTTCACGTTGGAGGAGGCAACTGCATTAAATGCGCGTACAGATGAGTTGACCGATAGGACCCAACAGACCACTATACAGAGAAGGTCTTTTTCAAACTTTTGAGAAATTGTTTTTGAGAAATTGTACTCTGCACGGGTTGGTGAACAGCGACGGCGGAGAAAAAGACGCTTTCTACTCCAGTGTAAAAATTTACCCTTTTCCAGAACAGAATTTTTAAGCTATAACAATCTGTAAAAGGCAAATTTTCACCCAAAATAACAAAACTTTAAAAAGCTACATTTATCCTACTTCTACCCAAAAAAAATGATAAAATCACAAAAATATAATAAGTCGTTATTAACGAAGCGGAATAAACACCAAAATCAGTCACAAAAGAAACAAAATAAACATTCTAACTGTAGCAAGAGACGGGTTAAGCACCAAATCACCAAATTCAAAACTTAATGCAGAATCTAAACAACACCAAAACTTTATGATCATTCATCAGTAAACAACAGTTATGATCATCACCAAAACAACATAAAGGCTTTAGTAGTGATTAGTATGTGTTGATGTGTCATATATATGCAGAAGTATTCAATAAATCCAACTTGTATATATGGCAGAAGTATAAATAAAGTCTAGGTTGCATGGGTATACTGGCATACAGCAAAAACCCAAAATGCGCGTACAAATGATTTTGGTGTTTATTCCGCTTCGTTAATAACGTCTTTTTCAAATTTTCCTCCAAGTCAAAACTAACTTACAAGAGAAGGTCTGATTCTGGTGACAGAGAAGGTCGAGTTCTGATGGCAGAACTGGACCTGGCAGCGGATAAGGTTCTGTCCGGGTAGCCCCAGGAAAAACACTAAGGCAAATTCCTTTTTGATAACTCTTAGAACGAGATTTGCTGAGCACAGAGTCCAAGTTCTTGGGAGTTGAACAGTTACAATTTTAAGTGTAGAAAGTAAATGCGTAAAGTAAATGACATCGGGGTTTTTATAGTGGTTCAAGGAACAACTTGTTCTTCTAGTCCATTGTTCCACTAAGCTTGCAAAAACAACAGTTTACAACGCCTTAGTCCCTAGCACTTAAGAAGCACTCTACGTCTTCTTCAAGTCTAGTTGCCACCTGGGATGCAGTCCTTGCTTTCTGATTGCTGGTCTCGTTTCACTGAGTCTCTTGAAGTATCCCCACTTCACTACTCCAGTTAGTTTGAGACGTCCCTTCTTTTGCAAGAAGTGTTCGATTGAAAAACAGTTTTCTCCAACGTAGCTTCTTCACAAAGGATGTGTAGATGAGGCTTTCGAAGTGTTGAAGAACTGGAGGAACGATTCTCTCACATCGGGAAGAAAAGATATGAAGTTTATAATCTTTTCCAACGTTAAGTGTGTTGCTCGAGATGAATAGAGGTTGAAGTCTTTGAGCGTTTGAATATTTTTACTTAGAGAGATATGTTGATCATTCATTTTTCCAATCCTTCGAAGTGTATCTTATATACTGGTAGCGGTCTTCCCGCTGGAGTGTAGAAGACAACTTCATTAAATGATTGTACTGTTGATTTGATCGGTTGGTCCTCGACTTGCTATTTTGGGGAGCGAAAGGATATCCGCATGGTCAATCATCAGCTTTAAATATCTCTTCGTACGTACTGCATTAATTGATCATTTAATGCATGTAAAGTACCATGTTCCGTTGAAAGACTTCTAGCCGTTAGGGTATTTCCCGTTAGTTTCACGACCGTTTGGAAGCACCTTCGAATTCTGCTAAGTACCAGCAATTCTGGTGAGGCTCTCTGGTTGAAACTCTGATGTCCGCCTCTGATGCCAACTCTTGTACCCAACTTTGGTAGCTTCTCTGATGAGCAACTCTGGTAGCAACTCTGATCAGAAAGTCCAAAAGGGTCTCTGGCCAGTCGACTATGCTAATACTTACAAAGAAAATTCTAAATACAAGATTTCTAAAAGGGGTACTTTAAAATCCTAATAATCCTAGCATCATCAAAATCTAAATACATTTATTCCTTACAGTCCATATTGCCTTTAGCCGACGCTCCTGACGTGACAGTGGCTTCCTTGGCATGGTTTCCCGCCAATGGGTAGCGACGATCGTCCTCAAGCATTGGCTGCCTGGTGTCCAGTGATGCCTTCAAGTTGCTGAGAGGAGGTCGTACGTCTCATGGTGCGTTGTCTGGTTTCCTGACGTACGTCTCATGGTGTGCTTCCTGCTTAGATACCCATGAGACAGGGGTCGTACGCCATCACCGATTATTGTCATGTTGGTGCAGGAGCCGAAGGTCGTCATTGCCATTGGGGACGTTCGTCCTGTGAGCCCCAGGGTATTTGTCCCCAGACTGTTGGGCATTGAGGACGTTCATCCGGTGAGCCTCAGAGTATTTGCCCCCAGACTGTTGAGCTTTGGGGACGTTCGTCCGGTGAGCCTTAGAGTATTTGGGCCGGTCCTATTAGTAGTAGTGGGAGTATGTGGGCCGAGGGTTCCTGGACCATATACTCCATCAATATGTATGATGCTTGTACTACAAATGTCCGCACTAGTGTAGGGAGGACCGCATAGTTCCCTATTACTATCAGAGTGCACCAAGGATCTGCTGTGAGTCCTTTCTTATTTGCCATAGTCATGGATGAACTTGCGAAGTCAATCCAAGAAGATATATCGTGGTGCATGATGTTTGCCGACGATATTGTATTGATTGATGAGACACAATCCGGTGTTAAAGCAAAGTTGGAAGTATGGAGACAAACATTGGAGACCAAAAGTTTCAGACTGAGTCGAAGCAAGACTGAATATATAGAGTGCAAGTTTGGTGGAGGTAGAAGTAGTAGCAACAGTGGGATTACTCTTGATGGTAAGGAGATACTAGTGTGTGATATGTTCCGTTACTTGGGTTCCATAATTCAGAATGATGGTGGATTAGATGGAGATGTATGCCATAGAATCAAAGTTGGGTAGATGAAATGGAAGAGTGCTTCACGATTTCTATGCAATCGAGGTATGTCGACTAGACTGAAGGGTAAATTTTATTGAACAACAATTATGCTTGCTTTAATGTATGGCGTAGAGTGTTGGACGGTGAAGCAATGTCATGTTCAAAAGATGAGTGTGGCAGAGATGCGTATGTTGCGTTGGATGTGTGGACATACCAGAAAAGACCGTTTGAGGAATGAGATAATCAGACAAAAGGTAGGAGTAGCACCTATAGAAGATAAGATGCAGAAGTCTCATTTGCGGTGGTTTGGGCATGTGCGTAAAAGACCGAGTGATGCACCTGTTAGACGACTTGAGGGGTGGGGAGAAGAGGCAGAGAAGAGAGGGAGGGGAAGACTCAAACAGACTTGGATTAGAGGAATCAGAACTGATATGCGTCTTCTTGGGTTGGATGAGTGTATGGCTTTGGAGAGAGCAAAGTGGAGGGCGCACATCCGTGTGGACGATTGATGTCTTTTCTATCTTTCCTTTCTTTTTTCTTTTATCGTTTATCTTCTTTATCTTTGTATATTGTTGTGTTATTTTTATATTCTAGCTTTTTATGCTCTTTTTTTATCTTTTATCTTTCTTATATTCTTGTGTTATTGTTATCTTATATTTATTTATCATTATTTTATTCGTTTTATCTTACTTTTTTCTTCCCTTTCTTGCCCGTCTTTCCTGTTTGGCATCGATATCATTGATCGATTCATGTTAGCCGACCCCAAATTCTTTTGGGATTAAGGCTTGGATGTTGTTGATATATATATATATATATATATATATATATATATATATATATATATATATATATATATATATACACACAGAGAGAGAGAGAGAGAGAAAAGATCATGTGAGAAGTCCTCCTTAAGATGAGAAGTGAGAAGTAATCTCAGCCCTTCGATTTGCATCTAATCTTACAACGCAGCAAACTTATAGACTGAATATAGTAACTTATAACCAATAAATCATAACTTATAAAGCTCTCCATCTTAATTACGGAAATGCCACCGCGTCAAAAAAATTTCGAGGTTTCTGGAGTTATTTGGACGCGGTGGCATTTTGGAAATTATTTTCGAGGGGGTCTATAAGTTATGATTTATTGGTTAAAAGTTTGTACTTTTAGCTTATAAGTTAGACTTCGCAGCTTCTCAGCCTAAGGGCACTTCTCACCTGATCCACTCCCTATATATATAGGGGAGGGTTCTAGTGAGAACCCCTCTTAAAATGAGAACCCATGAGAACCCTGAGAACCGGTGATATTTTTGGCTGAAATTTTTTGTGTAGTTCCTCATCAAGTCTAGATCATCCATATCAAATTTGAGCAAAAAATTCAATCGGGAAGGGTGTCAAATGATTTTTGAAAGAAAATTGGTTCGATATATATATAAAACACAGTTTTCTTTCAAAATTATTCGACGACTTTCCCGATTGAATTTTTTGCTCAAATTTGATATAGATGATCTAGACTTGATGAGGAACATACACAAAAAATTTGAGCCAAAAATACCACCGATTCCTTGGGGTTCTCACGGGTTCTCATTTTAAGAGAGTGTATGGGCCGTGGGCCGAGCACATATACTCTATCACTTTCATTAGTAAAAATTGGATAAAGTTTAATATTGCCTCACAACGTTTAGGGTTTAAGCTTTTCTTAATCATCATCATAACTTAAAAACACTTGGTTAACATTGCCCAGTACGGAGTCTTATTTATATACTGAGAAGTAGTGTAAGAAGTCGTTTCGTCCACTCCCTTTCTCTGGAGTACCAAGAAACTCTTCGTCATCTCATATTCCCATCCACCCCGCAGTTCCTCAACTAATTCAACTTTGAATCATTGATGATATTCCCTATGAATATATGATTTCTCCATCGGCGATGGGGAGGAGAAAAGATGAAATGGACGCCGAATCTGAAACCGCCCCTTCACCCTCGATTCATTCCTCCTCCTCATCCGAATTCGAGTTCGCCGTTGCAATCACCCCCGGCGGCGCCGGGCCGTCCTCAACCTCCTCTTCCGCTTCCACTCTCTGCCCCGCCGACGAGCTCTTCTACAAGGGCCAGCTCCTCCCCCTTCACCTCTCTCCTCGCCGCTCCATGCTCCGCACTCTGCTCCTCGCCTCCTCCTCCACCTCCTCCTCCGACAGCTTGACCACCGCATCCCGCGACTCCACCGGCAGCTCCAACGACTCCCGCCCCTCCTTCTCCGTCGCGGACCTCCTCCTCCCCTCTTATCGCGACTGCTCCCGTTCCTCCTCCGCCGCCGACGACGCTGATGTCACCGCACTGCCCCACCACTCCGCCGCCAGGAAAACTCACAAGTACCTCAACTTCTCTCTCTCCAGATTCTCCTGTGGTTTCCGCAAGGCCCGGGTTCCGGATTCAGCCCACGCGCCCGGATCCGTACCCGCTGGACCCTCCTCTGTAAAACGGATGAGCAAAACCGCCAGAGAAGTTGTCGTCAAGTACCTGAAAAAAGCGAAGCCATTATACGAAAAACTTTCTCAAAATACAAAGCTGCCGCCGCCGCCGCCGCAGCGGAGGACCAAAACATCGGACGAATTTCTGAAAGGATCCGATCGGAAAAAACCCGCCCCGCGTTCGTTCTCTGGGAATTTAAGTTACTCCAGGATGAGGAGGAGGAGGAGCGACGTTTCTAGCTGCCCTTCGTCGATGCGGTCATCTCCGAGCCACTCCGGCATGATTTGCCGCGTCATGGTCTCGCCGCAGGTGATGTGTAAGGCGGCGTGTTTGTCGGAAATATCGTCAATTGAAGAGTTGCAGACCGCAGTGCAAGGTGCTATCGCTCACTGTAAGAACTCAATGATCCGGAATTCATCAACTGCAATGGAACCATAACTGCATTGGTTGACATGATGTCTGAAAATTTTACTTCGAGTTACTGCCGCTGTAAGAATTGTTGAAATGTTCATGCTGCAATTTTGAAATCTTTTTTTGGATAATATTATATACTCCATACGTTCCATGTAAATAAATTTGTTTGTGTGTGTTTAGTCTCATGTTTGTATTTCATTTTACGGAGATTTACCTTAGTGGGAGCTTTGTTCTCGAATCCATAGCAAAGGGAGAAGACGTTTCGCCTGTTGCTCGTCGAGGGATAGTGCGGTAGGCCCATAAGATATTGTGAAACTCTTCTAACAGCCTCCCCTTTCGGCCTCAAGTTTCTTTTTTAGGCCCTCAAGTAAAGTTCGGTTGACGTTCTCTACTTGACCGTTGTCGTTCTCTACTTGACCGTTGCTCTGAGGGTAGGCAACGGACGAGAAAGTATGTTTGATGCCCCATGTCTCTAGGAGAGCGCAGAAGGGGGCTGCTCAAATTGAGTTCCGTTGTTGGAGATGATTTGTTGGGGGACGTCAAACCTCGTGAGGATGTTCTTGAGGACGAAGTGGTGGCACTTGGCCTCTGTAATGCTGGCGAGGGGCTCAGCTTCCACCCATTTGGTGAAGTAGTCGATGGCCACAATGATGTACCTGTTTTTGGAGTTATCCCTCGACAGTGGACCTACAAGGTCAATACCCCCTCTAGAAAGATAGATCTGAGCTCTAAAGCTATTGTTCCAACTTCATTTACAATATATTAACTAAAAGTTACAGATTAACCATATAATCACAATTTTTTTTGATTTCCCTCCGAACACGTGTAGAATTTGATGTGATCATATCTTGCTCTATTTTGTGTCGTTGAATGCGATTAATATCTCGTTGGAAAGATCTACCGAGTTCTAAAACTTGTCTTCAGGCGCTGGTTTCAAAATATCAATGGATGATTGCTTAATTACTAAAATACAATGTATTTACGCTAAAAGTGCTCTATTTTCGCTGATAATATTATATCATAGAGATAAGGTTATGTATTTGTGACACTCATATCTTGTTGTGTGTTTATCCGTTTGGAGCGTATTATATCTCGTTGGAAAGATATATCGGAGCTCTAAAGCTATTGTTCCAACTTCATTTACAATGCAATAATTAAAAGTTACAGATTAACCATATATTCAAAAATGTTTCTGATTTCACTTCAAAAATGTTGGCATGCGGCGCACCTTCGGGTGAGGTCTGCACAGTCCCGGGCCATTGTAGGTCAGAAGTAACCTTGCACTATGAGCCTTCGGGACATGGAGAAGGGTTCCTGGTGGGCTGAGCAAGTGTCACTGTGTACTTCCTCCATCGCAACCTCGGCTTCATCATGATGAAGGCACCGGAGCAACGTGCCGTTGTAGGATCGTTTATAGAGCCTTCCGTCTTCGAGGGTATAACTTGGATGTGTCACGGGTTCGAAATTGTGTTACTCCGTATTTAAGAGCGTTGATATTTAACATAATACTAGAATATGTGAATATGCGATAAACTATAACAAATAAAAAAAAAGAGGTTGACTATTTTTTTTAAATGTGACATCTTAATTTCTCAAATGTAGTAGATTATACTGAGTATTATATAGAGTCGTACATAGTCATAATTTTAATCAAATTAATTTATGTTCAAATTTTACATTTAAGTGAATATGAGATTATATTCATAGTAATTTTGGTCATATTGTTATAAATATGTTTCATTCCAATAATATTGTTGAGAAAACATCATATTATCTCCGATCCTTTAAACATTGTCACCCTTGAATTGAGTGTGAAATAAGCAAAGTAAAAATGTGTGATCAATTCATTATTATGAATAAAGCAATAAGTTGAATACAAATTCATTATTTAAAAAGAAAGAATGGATGAAGAGAATGTGTGATCAACGAATATTGTGAATTAAGAAATAAAATGAACACAAATTCATTATTTTAAAAACAATGGAGAGAATATTCATTACTTCAAAAGAACTACAAATAAGTAATCAAGAAATTTGAGACAAATAAAATAAGAGTTTGATAAAATCCAATGGAAGAGAGAATATTTTCACTTTTTACTTTTCTTCATTTGAGGTAATTTATACTCCATATTATATAGAGCCATTTTAACTCCAAAAGTAACTTTCAAGAAATTCTAAAAACAATGGAGTTTTTTTAGTTTGAGAAGAAAAATAGAGTTTTTTTTTTGACTGGATAAAAATAAAGGAGTTAAAAAGTAACGTTGTGTAATGTTTTGTAAATATAGATTGTTCTGCAATTAGAGGGGAACTAAAAGGAAGTAGGCAGAAATCATAAAAAATGTGAAGATCTAAAATAAATTGGTGCAGATTTGATGGATCACAAACATATTTCTGAATTGACTGAATTGGTTGAATTGGCTGCATCTGTTGAAATTTATGAATTTCTGTTGAATTGGCTGGATGGGTTGATTCTGCTGATTTATGAAGAAGAAAAATTTAAAATATATTTTATTAATAAAGTAAAGAAAAAATGTATATGAAAAATAACTAAAATGATCCTTTACAGCAACTTCAATCAATTTAATTTGAAGAGTAAGTTCAACCTTACTTCTTTTTATTATTACACAATTCAGCACTCAGAATAAAATTTACGTATTTGTGAAAAAGTTGACTAATAAAATTGATAAACTGAAAAACATGGTCACCAAACGAATTCTTGAAATGATACTACATTATTGGTGCAGGAATTTGACAACTCGTTCTATATTCAAGAGGCTTGACCATGACAATTAATGATGCATTCATTACGTTTAATGCTAGCTAATTATTATAACGTTTTTTGTGTATATTATTATAGCCGTTATTGTAATTAATGCAGAAGTTACTCACATAGCTGACCGACATTAATGACGACATCATAACAACTTTGAATGTCGTCATAACGGCCGAAACCGTCAACAATGGACAAAAAGGCATTAATTACCCCTCCTATAAGTAGTATCGAGCTCAGTTGTAATAGGGGACACCCCTCATTCGAGTTACACATCAATTTACATTCTATTTTGCTCACTTGACATCTTTCTTGTCGTTTTAGTCATTTTCCTTACAGTTCTTGTACGAAACCCAATCAATACACAATTTCCATTCTAATTAGTTTTAGTTTATCAAAATTTGGCTAAAACAATTTGACGCCGTCTGTGGGAAATCGTGCAAAAAATTTATTCTCCATGGAAGGAACGAGCAACGAGATGATGACCGAGTTTCATAAGCAATTGGAGGCGATGAATGAAGAAATCCGACATGAAGTGGCGGAACGGATGGATCACCTCCAGCGAGAAAACGACGTACTACGATCCTAGGTGCAATCGGCGGTATCTTTAGCCTCTAATTCAAGAAACAATCGACGGAACGATGCTATGATCGCTGTTAGTAGGTTGGACCTAGGCTTCACCCCGGCTCCAACGGAACCATTCATTCCTCGCTCGGGACCGAGACATATGGAGAACCGGGACTGTCAAATCGATCTATTCCCCTTCCAAATCCTAGAAGGAATGTGTTCCACAACCTGTTTCCAGAACCTCAAAAGCGGTGAGTTCCAGAACATGTCGACATCTCTAGACATGTTGACATCTCTAGGCGGAGGCAGTAGGAACCTGAAGTCATTGTCATCCCATCACCAACTAGACAGGAGGTGACCCAAGTGGTTACAACACGTCTCGACCATGAAACAATCGTAGGCGGATCCGGCGGACCCCATGTTTGTCGATCATCTTAGAACAATTGAAGGAGATGCGAGATAAAATTAACAACATCCCTGGAGTACCGCCACCATTGAATATTGCTTCGCAGACGTGTTACGCAGACTCTCCTTTTGGACGACATATCATAAACGTCGAGATCCCAAGGAAGTTCGTTGCCCCATCAATGAAGTTGTTTGATGGAACTTCCGATCCCTTGGAACATATTGCGCAGTACAAGCAACAAATGTTGGCCATTTCAGTTAGGCCAGAGCAACAGGAAGCTTGCTTATGTCGAGCATTCAGGATGACATTAACGGGACCAGCGTTGACATGGTACGTCAATTTGCCCAACGAAGGAATCAACTAATTCGCAGAACTCGTCAACCTGTTCAACCGACAATTCGCGAGCAGCCGGGTCCTCGAAAAACAGACCAGTGACCTTTACCGAGTAATCCAACGACGGAGTGAATCTTTGAGAGATTATTTGCACCGACTCAATAAGGAAAAGGTGTCGATCCCAAAATGTGACGTCTCTACCACCATTGAAGCATTCAGAAGAGGTTTGTATGAAAATTCGGAGTTGTACCACGAACTGACGAAATACCCTTGTCGGTCCTTCGAAGATGTCAAAGCAAAGACTTACGATCCCGTCAAAGACAAATTGAGCGCGAAGGGGGGCACGGGAAATCAGAATCTCCCAGGAGGCATGATAACAAGCATGGAAAACCATATTCGAGACCTGAGGAATGAGTCATCACTTCTGTGACGAGATAGATCGGACGACATGACCGAAGTCATCGGACGGGGGGCATGTTGTCCGATGATACACAGGTTCCGAAGAGCTGCAATATGGTACCCTTAAAGTTGTTTCATTTTTAGTTTTGTATTTTCTTTTACATAATGTTGTCGCTCTTGTGATGAGATAAACCGGGCGACATGACTGAAATCGTCGGACAGGGGGGCATGTCGTCTGATAATAGACAGGTTCTAATAATAAATATTTCTCCAATTTTGTATACATGGTTTTGATTTATTACTTTCATTTATCTATAAACGATGACTAACTTAAGCATCATAGTTTGAATTATTTTGAGATAATTGATATTTTGGATTATTTCAAGCGGATCACTAATAGTTGAGATTATTGTTGTTGATGTTTCCATAAAATATCACTCAACCTCTTTTTTACAGAATTGCAACTTTAGCATTCTTATATATATTTACAATTATATTTTTATTCATTGATTTGATATTTCATTTTTTTGATGTTGGAATTGTACGTACTTTTGCTAGATCTTTATTATCCTTCGTATATTTATACATATAAATATTATGTAGTATTTGTACCATGTAATTCTTGCAACTGGCTAGGGTGTCCGGAACTACCGAAATTGCTCCCCATAGCTAATACTACTGACGTTTTACAAAAGGTAACACGTATCAAGAAATATAATGTAAATAATGTCTATTTACACTAAATGCATTAATTTATTATTTCCAAATACAAAAATGTTTATTGTGGCAAAAGATAACATTTGCAAATTTAATGTACTAAAGATGTCTAAAACTAATGTAATAATCGTTGAGATTGATTGATTAAGAGGAGTTGAAATCATACATGGGTTACCGTTGCATGTCATAGTGTCTGGTTGTCATAATCAATCACTGGGTTGGCAAATTTCTAGTCCGTATTTGGTTTTATTGCACTGGGAATTGGAGTATTTGACTGTCTCGGAATCCAATGGATTTCTGATGACATATTTTGGACTTTTCATTCAAATGTAACTTCGACTGCCATTACTCCGTATATAATTTAGGATTTCCCGATCTATTTATTCCATTCCATTGCCACGTCCCATTTTCTTCTTGAAAAATACTCAACTGAGTTATAATGGAAATTTAGATGTCTTTGTGCTGTAACAACAATTATCATTGGGCTTATTATTTACTTTAGCCCATTCCATATTATTGGCTAAAAAGTCAAATTGGCTCTCGAACTAACTTAATGAACAATAGGAAAGTAGTCTGTCACTTTCCTTAGTCGGGAGATATGATCGACTGAACAGTACTGCGAC